CCCACAGGGCAGCTGTTTGTCTCCAGTCCTGTACGCGGCTTATACCAATGATATACCTACTCTGGCAGGCAGGCTTCAATAGTGGGAGGACGACGTTGAGCTGGCGCTATATGCGGACGATAGCGCCTATTTCACCTCGTCCAGAAGAGCCCACATAGCCACTGCCAAGATGCAGCGTCTGCTGGACCTGTTGCCACCATGGCTGGAAGAGTGGAGGATGGTCGTCAACGTTGGTAAGACGACCGCTCTGCTCACTCGCCGTCTCAGGAAATTTCCACCTCCGCTGACCCTCAACGGCCAGAAGATTGCGTACCAGAAGGCCGTAACCTACCTTGGGTGCAGGATCGACAGGACGCTGCGCATGACCGCGCACGTCGACTTCGTCGTCCGCAGGGCCCGATGTGCGCGGGCGACGCTCTTGCCGGTCCTGGCATCCAAGCTGCCTATAAGAACCAAGCTCCGGATATACAAGATGTATATCCGGACTATCATCACCTACGCTGCTCCGGCCTGGTACGCACTTCTGAGCGACCCTCTGAGGCGGCGACTACAGGCCCAGCAGAACCTGACATTAAGGACGATCGTCGGAGCAGGTCGCTACGTCCGGAATGACGTAATAGCGGCCGACTTGAAGATCGAGAACATAACCGACTTCGTGGCCCGACTAGCGCGCGGCATGTTCGACCGTGCCGATAACGGGCCACACGAACACCTCAACGGCTTTGCGCCGTTGCACACTCGGCCACCGGACGGGCGACCTCTTCCAAGAGAACTCCTCTCTATATGTGATTAGAGAGTTGAGTAACAACACAACGAAGGCCAACAACCCCTTTCCGTCGGATAACTACGAAAAAATATTTCTAACATTACGGAATAAATCCGCCTAACTTTATCTAGCCTGAAAGGCTACAAGGACTGTCCCATAGTAATGGGACATGAGGAACACCCGGGCAATGGGGGCTACCCCGAGGCCCGGTACCTGCATGGTACCTCGGTACATGTAGACGACAGTCAACATAATTCGTTGCGCGAATGGGAGGACGACGTAGAGCGGCGCTATTTGCGGCGCTATTTCACCTCGTCCAGAACAGCCCACATCGCCACTGCCAGGATGGAACGTCTGCTGCCCCTGTTGTCACCATGGCTGGATGAGTGACGGATGACCGTCAACGTTGGTAAGACGACCGCTCTGCTCACTCACCGCTTCAAAAGATTTCCACCACACTCAGAGGCCAGCAGTTCGCGTACGAGAAGGCCGGGACCTACCTTGGGTGCCGAATCGACAGAATACTGCGCATGATCGTGCACGTCGACTTCATCGTCCGCAAAGCAAGATGTGCGCGGGCGATGCTCCGTCCAGTCCTGACATCCAAGCTACCGATCAAAACGAAGACCACTATTTACAAGACTTACATCAGACCATTGTTGACTTATGCTGCTCCAGCCTGGTACGCGCTTCTGAGCGATCGACAGAAGCGGCGACTACAGGTTCAGCAGAATTTCTTACTACGGACCATAGTCAGTGCGGGTCGCTACGTCCGGAACGACGTTATAGCGGCCAACCTGAAAATGGAAAACCTGCAAGAATTTGTGGTCCGGCTAGCGCGCAGCATGTTTGACCGCGCTAACAACAGGCTACATCTACATCTCAATAACTTTGCGCCACTACACACACGGCCCCCGGACGGGCGACCCCGTCCAAGAGAACTCCTCTCTATATAGATTGAAGAGTCGAGTAAATCCCACAATGCCGCAGAAAGGCCAACTCTGACAAACAAAAATAGTGTAAAACACAAAATATTAGATAAATTCCTTACGCTGTAATTTATCCGACTGCGGCGAAAGCCGCTACAAAAATTTGATATCGTATAAGGCCTTGTATAAGGCACCTAGGACCGGCATATTATAGTGTGCCGTGAAGAATGCCCGGGTAAAGGGGTGTACCCCGAGGCCCGAGACCTGTTAGGCAGAAAGCTCATGCAGAGGACAACGATATATGCCAATAGTTAGGGAATTCGGAAAGTTCGGGAATTAAGATAAGTTCGGGACCAGCTACAGTTTCCAGCTATAAATCAAGAAAGAAAACGAAATTTGGGAAAGGAAATTGAAAGTAGTGTAATATCGGTATCACATTTCCAAGGGACATTTACGAACAATTGCTGTTTTATTTCTCCAGTGTCTACCCGAAAAGTAGGGAAGTAAGGGTGGTTTTATCGTCACGCCGCTAGACGCGCCGCTGGGCAGCGTGTTGTTAACAGCGCGCGCTTGAACAGCGGTGCACTATAAAACGAGATTTTTACCGCGCGTTCCGCTGCCGTGAGACAGTCGTGTACAAAATGTCTCACGTTAATGCGGTTAGAGTACGGGCTATTTACATTGTATGGAAAAGGCAACACCGATTTAGAAGAAGAGTAATTGATCCTCATAACGCTACAAGGTTACTGAGAGGCGAACACGTAACATCTTTCTCCGATTAACGAGGAAATAATTATAAATGTTATAAATATTTTCGCCTATCAGCAAGCAGTTTCGACGAATTACTTTGCAAGTTAGAGTTTTCTTTACGACGATCCTTTTTGTGTCCCATAAACATCTTCTAAATCGCACTTCCTCAATTACTCGTCTCGTATCGATGTAATTTTGTACACCACAGTACCTAACGGCGCGTCTCAACGGCGTCACACTAAAACGCATACTGGATGTAGAGGCGCCAGAGCGGCGCGCGCTTCGGCAGCGCCGGTGAACAACGCGCGTTTAACGAACGGCGCTGCTCAAACGCGCGACTTTGAAACGCAACTACTACGCCGATACATATCCGAACGCGCGCGCACCAACAGCGCTGCCGGAACGCGTAACGATAAAACCAGCCTAAGAAGATATACAGTCCGCTAAGTACATGACTGACGTCAGAACCGCAACCATTCCTTAGGCCCGTAATCTTAGTCGTCAACCACTTTCTTTTGAGAAGGCGATTAAGGTTGAAGTTGAACGTCTTATCAGGAGTCACGCCCACCGCATTGCTTACCAAACCCAACGAGGAGTGGTATAGCAAAGGGGGCCAGTAATTAGTTGATCTCTGCTGCGGTCGTGAGATGAAGAACGTTACTCTCCTTTTCAGTATTTTTTTTCTCTTTATTTGGATCACCAACAGATGATACACAATACTAACAAAAATATAATTCAATACGGCGACTATATGCTACGTGTTCATCTTCTTACAGGTAACCACAACTTACATAAAAAGCGAAGAGATTTTTTAAAGATAAGGAAACATAATAAAACAGATAACAATAATATGCTAATAAGTATACATAAATAAGCAGATTTGCTATAGCTACAGTTTGTGGATTTAATTCTTAGAGTCTATACAATATTAATAATAATAACAATAAATCTACTAATTTTATTGCATATTTCAAAAAAAAATTTAGATCAAATAATTAAATCTAGTCAACTTCCATTGAATTTGGTATAATTATGATTGTATAATGACATCATTCTGATAAGTGGGGAGTTGCGACCTAAATTACTTTTACAGAGACGTTCTTTGAAAGGCTTGTAAACCTTAAAGTGCGGTAACTTATTTGGTACAGATATATTAATTTTACTTAAAAGTTGCGCACAGTATATATGGTTATTCAATAATTTATGCAACAATACAAGATCGAGTGTCTATTTATTTTTTCTAGTAAGTTTCTAGTAATTCAACAAGGTTGCGTGTTACTGGCATCTGTTTGAGCGTCATTGACCCTTTCCTTTACGAACGTTCTCGTGTCATACCGTTATAGCCAATCAAAGTCCACTGCTGAACGTAGGTCTTTCCTAAAGATCATCTTATAGAAGGGATATGCCATAGTTGCCGCGCTTGGCAAGCGGGTTGGCAACCTTTTTTATTCAGCTGTCATCAGGAAGGTGCTGCTTCCCATCTACTAGTTCGTGTTCTATTGCGTTATATTTTGTTTTTTAATAATATAAATTGTATGTACTAAACCATAACCTAGTCGACTTATACGTATGCACTATTCGTTAAACTAGTATCAATGCGTAATAAGAGAAGAGTGTGGTTTGCAAGATGATGCGACCAGGATTAAGAAAGGAATGCTTCGGTGGTTTGGTCATGTGGAAAGAATGAATGAGGAAAGAGTGACAAAGAAAATTTATGTTGCAGAAGTGAATGGCAGAGTCGGAAAGGGACGTCCTTGGCGAAAATTTATCGACCAAATTGGCGATTTATTGAAAACGGGCCAAATTAGGAGTACCCTTAACCGACGTGCATGTATGCGTAGGTGTATGGATGTGAAGGAGGCGAGAGAGGTGTGTCAGGATCGTGCCAAATGGAAGTCTGTAGTCTCTGCCTACCCCTCTGGGTGACAGGCGTGAGTGTTTATGTTATGTTTATGTTTAGTATCAATGCAAACAAAATATTTTTAAATAACTAAAAATTCTTTCTTTATTGTTTGCAAACATTATTAATTAAAAAAGCTAATTTGACGGATATCACGTTACGTATCATGAATTATCCCTGAATCGTGCAGAGCAATCTCGAATTTTTTTTTACTTGCGCTAACATTTAAATAAGTACTGACATAAATATATTTTTTTAAAACGTTACCCCTAAACTAGGATTTTCTCCTGTATCGTGTAGGCAGTTTACAAACATAAATTACACAAGGACACACATCCAGTCCCGAAACAATTACTTGTAGGCCATACAAATACTCATTTCGTGCTGGATTCTAAACCGCGACCATCAGCGCCGCATTTCAATGCTAAGCCACTAAGCTACGGAGCCATGAAATTAAATTAAATAGCGACTTTATCGCTCTAAATATAAACAATTAGCCTTTTGTAGTTGTAAAATGTTTATCAACATTTAATATTTATTTAACTAAAAGGAAACATTTTCAAGGATTGCATTCACTTTATAGCACGTTTCAAATGAACACACCTATTTTAAACAAAAAATGGCTAGTACAGTACAATGTATAACTTATAATATTCTAATTGTTATAACTTTGACGATTGGTGGATATAGATCCGGGATGAGCGTAGGTGCCTCCATCAGATCCGGTCGAAAGACTTGAGCCGATGACAAGAGTATTTTGATCGGTGGATATATATCCAGGATGTGCGTGAGTGCTTCCGTCAGATCCGGTCGAAAGACTTGGGCCCACGACCATAGTCTGTAAAATCAAAGCACATTCATTCATAAGGAATTCGGAAATATTTATGTAAATTAAACGAAAAAAATTCAAATTAAAACATACTTTATTTTATGGTGGCGTAAGTAAACTCATCAACAATTTCATACCAGGGTGACGTAAGAGGCGACTATGGAAAATTCAAGGAAAATCTTAAGGCTTCATTACATCGCATCACATACGTGGAGGTATAACAATCTCGTTAAGTCAAAGACCTGACGATACCTGTCAAGCCTAACGATTAAGGGAAATCCATCTCACTGCAACCACAGAATAAATAAATAATAGCTCCCACAGAAGAGGTCCAATGCAATTCCAAGAAGAAGAAAGAATATTAAAAATAAACATAATTGCTAAGTAGATAATCAAAATTAAATCACTCTATGGTTGTGAGGACGCATGTAGTTTGGCCTATGTGAAGGCCCGTTATCAGCAGCGACAAGCGACACCAAGCACAAAACGAAGATCATCTGAAATCAAAAAGACACAACATTTGTTATATAGAAGCGGTGTAAAAGCATGCATTTCTTATTTCATACCGTAGTTCATTAACGCTACATTTTCCTGAGTGATCGCAGTTGAGAGTGGTCCTTCACGAATTTCATCATGAGGATAAACCCGGGCACAATCAAATTCCACGTATCAATGTGTGCCTTACGGTGCTCATGTGAGGTGCTTCCCAACTACATGCATTTTGAAGACAAACATTGCAATCTTGTGAAGAGAGTGAATTTTTAAGGTCATAAAAATCATCGCCCTAAAAGCTTTTCACGCTAATTCTACTTTTGCTACGGATGACTATCTTCAATTTGTGATAAAAAAGTATTGAGTATTAACACACTACTTTTCGCCAAACAAACTATTAAACAAATTATTTTAATTAATAAAAAAATAAATTTAAAAAAATATAACGTTCGACATTTAAACATTTATGTATGTAGATATGTATTAGTAATTGAAGATGAAAATTCAAAAACTCAATAAATTAGGTCTTACGCTGTTTTGTTTTCTTTCTTTTTTTTTTTTTGTTTCTTATGCAGAGATATTTTAAAATACTTACAAAATATTTCATTGTTAGGATTTTCACTTAATAACAGTAACGGCTTATGATGCGCCTGTCCATCAACTACATTTTTTAAAGAATACAGTGCTTTTATATAGAACAGGAAGCTATTGTTTTTAAACAAGTATTATGACAAGAATTTTAAAAACAATAGATTCGGAAAACTACTGGTTACGCTCTGATCTCACTACATAAATGACCAGCGCATAAGGGCTGACATCATTGATACATTTTGTATATCAATGGCTGACATCGAAGCCAACCAAGTCTTCAGAATATGATGCGATATGCTTCTCGTGATAAAGATGCGAGTTTTTATTTAAGTTAAGAATAGCCTAAATCCTACATTACATACCTACTCGTCAACTTCCTAATACCTAACGCATTCTTATTAATAAATAAATCCACAATAAACCAAATTTGGAAAGCTCGAGTTTTTTTTTTGCGAATACACTTCCATTATTTCAGCTTGTACTTAAAATCTGGAGATTGGCGGAAAGTAATATAAAACACTTAAAAAGCAACAACAAAATTTACAATATCTATTCCACAGCATAGAAGCTAATTGCAATAGCATATTATTTAATAATAAATAAAAAACAGAGTAAGAAAACTTATTCATAAATGACTGACCTACCCAAATATCGTCTCGATTCTCCTGATCCAATTTCCATCAAATAAAACAGAAGTCGTAAACCAATCGTCTCCGAAGGGTACGTATGTTTATTTATTTATTTTCTTGTGCATTAAAGCCGTCCGCCTTGAATTAATATAAGTGATGTCATGATTTAAAAAAAAATTGTGATTTATTTCGGGGCGAGGTCAGTGTCCTTGTTATTTACGTACGAACCTTCCGGTAATAGTAATAGTGTTCTGTGATACGTACGTAAGTACCATGGAAATACATTATAAACTTTAATTGCACATAACAAGAATATGGTACAATAGTGTGTGCTCAAGCACAGGCACACACTATTATTTCAGTTCCCTCACTCTCATAGTCCGATGGGACGGTAATCCGACACGAATATAGACAGATCAGGCTCAAAACCAAAGGCTGTACGTGCTTTCTGAGGAACAGGGATGAATGCCATGCTGCAGTTATATTAATAGTATAGTTATAGCACGAATGGGTCGGCTCGACCGGGGAAGGACCACGCTCTTACAGAATACCACCGTGAAATAGCAGCTTAACGATGCCGTGTTTCGCATGGTGAGTGTAGAGAACCGGAGCCCCTTTTTACTGGAAACGAGGCATTCCATCTTAGTCCTCACGGGTGACAACACATCTGCATTTTGATTCGTAATCGAAGATAGACGTAGATGCACAGATTCTGTGGTCGCTGACGCCGCAAAGGTTCGCACTCAATTTTTTTTTAATTACAGGAGAGCAATGAAACGTTTATTTCTTGATTACTAGCTTTTTTCCTTCAATAAATTAATTTATATTATATATTTGATAGTTTTCTATTAAATCTAATATTTTTAATTTTATATAATTGAAAAATATGTAATTATTTAAAAAAATATAATTATAAGTATAATGCTATTGCCTTATTTTTGGTTTTTATATTTTTGCTTATAAATTTATTATTTAAATAAATTGTATATACTAAATCATAAACAAGTCTTAGTCTTAAGTTTATGTACCAACTATACGTAAAACTAGTCCAGGTGCAAGCACGAAATATTTTAAACGTAGCTAGAAATTTTTTCTTTATTTATTTACAAACGTTAGCAATTTAATAAAAGTAATCACGTTTGCTTCTTTAATCATCGCTGAATCGTATAAGACAAACCAGAACAATTTTTTGTATTTTTTGTATTCCCGCGCAAACGCTTAAAAATACTGAAATAAATTAAATAATAATAAAATAATAAATTACTTAAATAATAATAATAAATTACAAAGAGATTTAATTGCTTAGAGTATAAATAAGTAGGCTTTTGTAGCAGTAAATTGTTTACTATCATTTAATGTTTGCTTATTTAAAATGTAACATTTTCAAGGATTTCATTCACTCTATTGTGTCTTTCATATAAACGCATTTTTATAAACACAAAACGGCTAGTACAGTACAGTGCAAAAAGTTATAATATTCTAATAGTCATAACTCTGACGATTGGTGGAGATATATCCGGTATACGCGCGGCTGTTTCCATCAGAATCGCGCCTAAGACTTGGGCCGACGACTACTTATTCTAATTCACTAATTTTATCATGTAAAATCACGACCACGATCCAATTCCGCGCATCAACGCCTTACGGTGCTCAAGTGAGGTGTTTCCCTCCTATAAGCATTTTGAAGACAATCAGTGCAATCTTGCGAAGAGAGTGAACTTTTAAGGTCATAAAAAATCGTCGCCCTAAAATTTTTTCGAATTAATTCCACTTTTGCTACGGATAATGCACTTCAACTTGAGATAAAAGACTTTAATAGTCTTTCACGCAACTTCCCGTCAAACAACTATTAAACAAATTTTTTAATCGATATATGAGTTTCTTACTTGTATACTCATGTATCGGTCAGTGGTTTCAGTAGATAGGTAGTACCACTTCTGGCTCACTGAGTCAGAAGTGGTACAACGTTCGTCGACTCACGATCCTAAAAAAAATGCTCTAACGAATCTGCGGTCCGTTTTTGCGTAGGATTCACAGTTCCTGAGATGTGCAGATCAATTAACTCTTATCTAATTGATATCCGGTGAGGGCCTCCAGCGCCCCATTGTTCTTATCTATTTATCTATTGTTCAATGAATACCGTCATTGTCTATTTTTCCTCGGCGTATGCGTCGGCTTATCAGTGCTATTGTATTATACTTATTTGTTCCTATCTACAACACTCATCTAAATCATCAATAAAACACATTACCTAATTTTGTTACAGTTTTTATTTACAAAATACAAAATCTTATTACATATTGTCTATAAAATAGGAGCGAAACATATCATCCACTAAAATATCATTGTACAATGTGTTCTCTGTAAATATACTCGTAAAACTATGCATTGAACATCCCTGAAACGTATATAGCAAATACATTAAGCAATATTCGCCACAAACTGAAGTCCACTCATTCTGAATACTATCAACATTCCAGTTCCATCTTTTACAATTCCTTTTTAAAAACTCTAGATGATATCGTACAGGTGATCGTCCATATGAATCAAAATATTGACCGACGTCATTCGTATCGATATATAAAGCTACCCAATGTGACCCTGGCTTATCATCTGTATCCAAATTGCATTTTATATACGTTGGTAAGTGGGTATACATGGGCAGTCTATTAGCGGCATAAACATTATTTTCTAGACTGGGGTGAATCTTTTTCAGATGTAGTTGTACATCTAGTGTATCCATGATATTACTGCTATTATTAGATTATTACAGTACCAATGTACTCAATTACTAACATAGGAATGATCAATTATAGTGATTTCTAAATATTTTATTGCATTCTTTTGCGTTATACAAATCGTATTTGAGCCATCAATACACTGAACAAGACGCAACACGAAGGAATGTTGAGATAAGCAACAGAATGTGAAATAAGCTTGTTGACGCATAAAGTTACTCGTACTATCAGTTCCACTGCAGAAATTCTTTAGATTAGAATTATTACTTACTGGTACTATATAAGACCGAGCAGCTGCAGTCATGTAGTTAGTGTATGGTCGTTTGACCGCAGTGGATCTATCAATACTAAATTTGTGTTACTTCAACGCATCAAAGGCCATGGATGTAAGTGTTTATTCTATTGACAAACTTACTTTTCTTTCTGTTATTTTCTTACGTGTGTATGATTTAGTGTTAACAAATTATATTTAAATATTATGTGTGTATATGATTAAGCCGTGGTAGCTCAGATGGTTAGCGCAAGCTGTAAATTTCACAGTACGCGACCCGGATTCGATCCCCGCAGGCACCAATTAAATTGATAATTGCAATTTTAAGTGCTGATTTACTACGTGCTCAGCGGTGAAGGAAAACATCCTGAGGAAACCTGCATGTCTGAGAAAATTTCAAAGACATGTGAAGTTCACCAATACGCATTGAGGCAGCGCAGCAGACATTTCCTAGCCCTGAATACAAAGACAATAGCAGAAAATGAAAAAGTTAAAATACTTTTTTAACAATGACAGTCATTAGTTGATCATTAGTGAATGTGATTCTGTTTACTTAAATTACAGGAAGACAAGAGCAGAAGGAAGTTTGTTGGAACAAACATATTTTTAGTCACGTGTAAATACTTTTAACTTTTTGGTTCAAAATGACACAAAATCTAAAAAATATTAGATACATCATCGACATGGACGGATTTTACATTACATATCCTCATAAACATTTTCAATGTAGAGAAATGGCTATTCTAGACGTAAAACTATCTAATAAAAATTATGCG